CTGAAAGAAGCCCTCAACTTGGCATCTTCCAGGCAATGATGATGTCACCAGCAAATCCTTTCACTACAGAAGCACTTCCTGCTTCCGACATGGAGAAAAAACCTGACACCATGTAAATTGGCAATATATACAAAGCTTGACTTGCATAAGCCACAGGCATTTATATTTATTGCTCCACACATCTTACATCTTTGCATTTGTTCTCATTTGAGAGGGCAAAAGGCATAATTTGAAAGACGTGCTGCTGTAAGATAGTATACTATGATATTTTCCTGTGAGATCCAATACTCAATATTGGTGACTTTGATTCCTCTCTGTCTCTCTCCCAATTCACTTCCCTGACATACTTACGGCTTTCTGCTTTGTTGGGACTTTACAGTCTGCCTAGAAGATACTCGGCTTAATTTGAAAGATTCCTTTCTAGACAAAATTTGGCTTGGCGTTCTAGAAGTAGAAGGTTCTACATTGGTGATGTCAAAACTAGAATGTTTTGTTGTGCTTGCTATTCGACGTCGGCCCTTGTCTTGAGATTCTTGAATATCCTTTCCTGAACCTGAATATAGAAAAGCCCATTAATTGTGTGATCCCCATCTAAGTGTTACTATTTAGAGAGGGGGGAAAAAAGTGGGGGGGGGAGACGATTACTGGTAAGCCATGACAGAAAGAGGCATAGGTATATTTGTAAGTTTTGTTCATTTTAATGACTAAAAGTTTGATTCAGTTTATGAACACAGCCAAAAGAAAAGAGAACACCCACCTCTCCATTTACACCTCTGTGAAGGTGTCCTCTGAAATATATATTTTAAATGTAAATCTGTGATGGCATGTGGTGAGGAGGTTGATTCTGAGGGAGGGAGGGGTGCATTCCAAAGGAGAAAGAGGCAACTCAGCTGACATATTATATATGAGAGAAAGAGGGTGAAGACAGCTCTTCCCTAATAGTTCACAGAGTATATATTGTAAATACAGACAGTATAGTGCTCGGCATGGTATAGTTTTATGAAACAATAAAGAACTCAGCTTGGATGAATCATCACAGGCCATTCCTGGTTTTGGCCCTGACATATTCTTTAATATGTATTTTTGTGCACATTTGGGATTGTGAGTTAAGATATGAAAAGTGTGAATTTTGTCATGAGTCCATGCTCTAGATATAATAATTTTTAACATTATCAATAATGTATTTGTTTCAAACAATTGAAGAACCAGATAACTACATGCAATAAAAATTAATGGGAAAAGCCATAGTGCATGAAGAATAAAATATTAGTACTAAATAATGGATTTACAATTATAACATTTGAAATTCATTATTTTTAATTAATTAAATCTATAGAACTAGGTTTATTATATCATTTTAAGAAATAAGAGTTGCTTGACAGTGAAATGGGTGGCATATACATTTAATAAATCAATAAAATAATTAAATAATTAAAACTCTGTATAAAATGCTAATCATTAGTATTAATATTGATATCATTTCTATTTTTCATTCTTCCAAAAAGAAATGTTTATAATCAAGGGAAGGGAAGGGGGCCTTTTTTCTGTTAATGCCAATGAAACTGTACACAGATCTAGTACTGAGAAAGAAAAGTCATATGATGAAAATCTGTGTCGGTCATACTTTTTCCTCAATGTTGCTCATTGTTTTTGACAGTAAGCAACTGCAGAATAAACTTATTTTTCCTAACACTGAAGACTGAAAAAAAAGACCAAAGTCTCGTAATTTATGAGTCTCATTAGTTACCCTTTAAATATAAGCAAATACAAGGAAAATAGAAATTAGAGCAGGGGTGTCAAACGTGCAGCATGTGATAAGTCACTTGATGATGCTGTGATGACACGAGTTTGATACCCCTGAATTAGAGCAACATAAGTAATAATAAAATAAACATGATGAGAAATACCACTATCTGAAGCATTTTAAATACTTTAATAATAGCATTTTGCTCACTTTCTCACTCTTGAGAGGTTCGTGAGTCTTTTATTATTCCCCATGTTATAAATATGTCTGAAACAAGAAGTATTTTACCATAACTTGATATATCCCGTCAAGGTTAAAACTGTCCTACTCAGTTATATCAAGCCAAGGCGCTTGTGACTAAACAAAGGCAGATAGTAACACTCACAAGTGCCTACATCCAACACATCAAGCAAAAAGATATTCATTAGCTGTTAGATCATAATGAGATATTAAAAATAGGTACATTGATTTCCCCATGTTCTTTGGCAAATGACTTTATTCATCACCTTCTGGAAAAACTGCATAGAAAAATGATAGTAAATAACCAGTAATTTTCTTCTCTTAGTCTGAGGGTCAATTCACAGAATAAATGGATAAGCCAATCATTTTAGAAAACACATATTCATACTATAATTTTACAGGATGGACAAAGGTCATCTCAAAATTGGGTTGTTTTGTTTCATCCATGTGGATATGTGTGCATGGGAAGCAAAATGCTTTCAGAAGGAGAAAGAAAAAAAGATACTCAGAGTACCATTTGAGTACTGGTGTGAAATACCTCAAGAAAACTAAAATGTTTGCAGTGGTAAAAAGTTGGCTCAACTATTTTCATTTTTTTTAAATGTAAAAATAACTCTATTTGATTTTGCCTCAAAATGGACTCCACAGCCTGTTTTAATAATATAAAAGAAAGAAGAAACATAAAAATGGGGTAACATGAATGTATGGAGTATAATCTGAACAATGATAGCTGAATGGAAGCTCCTTTAATACTAATTAATTTGACAAGATAGTAGAATTTACCTGTTTAACGTGGAAGTTCTCTATACTATTATTTTTATTTTCTGTAACTGTACCATATGGCTTTGCTTCTGATTGGTTTCTTCTGAAGATGGATGAGATTCAGCAATAGTCTCTGAAGATCTATTGTTATTTCTATGCGGATCTGAGAATCACACACAGTCTTGGGATTATGGAAGTGCTTACCTTTTGACTGTACTGATTTTTCCTCTTTATTGTCAGAATTGAATTTATTTGCCTTTTCTTTCATCCGCCGTCTTTCACGTTCTTCCCGCCATTCTTTGGGAGATAGTTGGTAGAGGAAATCCTTGAACACCACATACTCCTGCAAAGTGTCCTCAAATCGGGCTATCTCACTGAAGAAAAGAAACAGTCATTGCATCAAGAGCGAATGGGGATTACTCTGCAGCACTTCCAAAGGACACTGTTGTAGAAAATTGGGATAGGTATTAGGTATAAAACTCCTCTCCCCAAGTACATATTCCCAGGGAAAATAAATTGTTAACCATAAATGTTTTAGACATGAAGAATGCTGGACAAGACACCAGGAGACAGTAAGATTGCTGGGAAGTGCAACTGCAAGAAGGTAACATTTAAAATATATGAATGGATGGATGGATGAATATCCCTAAAATATCCCTTAATTTTACTCTGAATGCTTTGGTAGAAGATAAACAATACTTTTTATTTTGCCTGAAGTTAGGACATCTTCATAAAAAGCATATGGCAATACTGATGCGTGATTGTCTTTGTGGGTTGGACATGAGAAGAATCTGGTCTATCAGGATTCCCATCTTTTTCCTGATGCCATTTACTGGTACTCTGTGGCCCCATACTGCTACCATAATGCTGATTCCTCTGAAGTGACTCCATTGTCTCTTTTCTTCTGCTTTCAAAGAAGAGATTCAGACAAGGCTAAATGAAACTTGTCCCAGCAGGTGGCAGCATCTAGCTGACCTTGCCAAGTCATCAAGGTCAGAAAATGTATTTCTTAGATGGCTATCATTAAATCTCAGAGCAATAATAAAAAAAAAATCCATTCTGGAAAACATAATGGAAAACGAGTTTCATATTCTTGCCAAGAAAACAACATTCTTGTATCTATGTAATCATCCAAGGTCAAACTTAATTCAAAGAAGACTGAATCTTTTAAATGAAATTTTAATTGATTTTGATCAATTGACCAATATAATTGAACATTTCCAGGCAGCAACTCTTGGAGCAAAAACACCATTAGTTTTTCAGGGGAGTGCTTTATTTTAAAATAATTCCTGAAACAGGTCTAATTCACTTTTTCTAATATTGAATTAGAAGAATAGCAACTTTCATTTTTAATTTTAATACATTCCAAAGTATTTCTTTCCATCTTCTCAAATGTTTCATAGACAAGGTCAATGGAAATAACAGCACTAATTGTTATCTTTGGGGACATGATTTTTTTTTTATACCAATCTATGGATTTAAAATTGGAGAGAGAAACAAATGGAAACCTATAAAATCTTGTTACCCATAATTCAGGCATATAATTAATAATTTCAAGCACAAACATTTAGCATGTCATAAAGATCTATAGAACTAGTGTACTTTTAACTGTATTGGAACATCCAGGAAAGGGAAACAGGGAGGAAGGAAAATATACCCTGGATTATATCTTCTGTAACTGCTACCTTTGGATGTTCATCATTTGCGCTGTCAATTCTCGGATCTCAATTATTTTCTCCAGTTTTGCTTTGGTTTCTTTTTCAGCACTAAGAAAGAAGAAATAAAGGCAGAAATTACCTGCAAAGCATGACCAGAGATAAGAAATATCACAATTAAGGAAGATCTCAAAGTTTTAGGCCATCATGAAAAGCCAGAGGCAATGATTAGGGCAATATAAATTTCATCCTGGTGATATTCCATTTCTCTCCTTTCCCCGGTCCTTTCCTTCTTGTCTCTACCCATATATTGGTTGAGAATTTGGCTGAAGAATATGTAGAATGTAATAATTCTCGGTCAAGTTAGTTTGACAACTAGATGACACAAGAATGGGGTGACCCACTTTTCCATGGTCAACTGTGGAGGGATCATATAACAATAGCACTTACTCATAGAGTGCTCCATAGTGCTTTATTGCAACTTTCATCTACCTGTGAATTTCTGTTGAATCTTTTAATCAACTTGTCTGGTAAACACTCTCTTTAAGGTGGGGGGGTGGGGTGCACAGCCTACATGTTAGCTAGAGAACAGGAAGGCAGCTCTCCTATACTGTCAGCATAGATTCAATTCTAGATCTTCAATATGAGCTCTCTTTTTTTTAAATCATAGAAAAAGTTCTGCTAGCCTGGGTGGGAAGTGGAAGACATCTAGCTAACTAGCTTAAGGAAACTTAACTGCTTGCTGTTAGATTACCTAGCAGATTTGTAACTCTTTAAAATATCAGTAGGTGGGTTTTCTTGTGTTTGTTAAACAAAAAGAAAGAATAGTATAGAAATAAATTGACTCATGAATTATTTGGCATCTGAATCCCAGTAGAAAATATTTGACAAATAAATCAAGTCCCTATTATGAATTCCATGAAGAATTTCATTAACTCTGAATAGGTTTCTTAAAGCAGCAGTGGTTTTTTTCCTCCAGGGCCTAGGCAGAAGTTTGAGTAGCCTTTGCATTCTTTAAGGGGTAGCTGAGAGAGGCTGCATTTGAGGAGATCTGAAGCACAAGGATCTGTCTACAAGAGAGTCAAGGTGAATAACTCTGAGTCATGATGCAAAACCCCTGACATGCATATCTGTATCAGACATTGGGATGCAATAATATAAGGGTGATGTTTGTCTGATGAGATCACAGTGTTTCTCTTTTTGACACAAACTCACTTTGCTACAGGATATATGGTGTCACTTCTGAATCATTCTCAGAGCATGTGAAAGTCTAGCACAGGGGTGTCAAACTGGCGGCCTGCAGGCTGGATACATCACACGCAGGCCACACCAACCCCAGCTCCATGAAGGGGGAAAAAAAGTCGCGATATATCGTGTGACAGCAACATGACATGGTGAGTTTGATACCCGTGCTCTAGCAGGTTCATCCCCAATGAAAGCATTAGAGGCAGAATGCTCAAAGATATGATTTGACTGTCCACAGTATGCTGAAGTTGCACAGACCTCTCCCTCTCTCTCGGGATATAAGCTGCTGTGTTTTGTTGAAACTAGAAATTCAGGATGTCTTTTCTGAAATAATCTGTTCTCCAGTCTTAAGGGAGAAGGTGAGCATCACTTAAGTTACTCCTTTAGTTCAGCAAGCATCTCTGACCACCCTTTTCAGACCGGTTATGAAAATGATGTGTCAGATATTTCAACCTTTGTCTGCCTGTGTGTGCCTATGATTATATTTTCTTCAATATGTTAATTCTACAAAAGTATTGGGGGGGGGGACGACCCAAACCCAACATTGTAATTCTTCCCCCTCTGATATCATACCCCACCATGCCCTCAGTATTCCTGGGAGATTTCCCCCCAAAACGATCAAGTGCCCCTTTTGTCCAATATGATTGCAGAGATGCTTGTAAGAAGCTCCTGCAACACTTAGTGCCAGATTTTATGTCTCCTACTGAAAACTGCAGAACTTCCCCAGGACTTGAGATGTCTATGAACTCTATAGCACAGATCCTGTAGTTCAGTGTTACATTTTCAGAGCCAGGGCAGAGTTTCTGTCATTCTCTTTCAGGAACTCATCAAACATGGCAGCGTCCTTTTCCAAGTCTTCTTCAGCTTTTTCCAGCCTTGCTTCTTCTTCCACTGCCAGATTTTCTAGTTTCTGAATTTCATCTTTTTTCACAGTTACAGCGTACTGAAATGTAAGTCAAAAGTGATTGAGAAAGGAAGGCCCAGTAACGTCTCTTTTCAGTTAATGGACAATTTATCATCTCGGTAGTTTAGAAACTGGCTGTTCTATTACTAAAAGAGTTCTGCTTCTATGTGAAAGTCCTCTTCTCCTCTTCTCCCCATCTTTGCTATTACCCTCAAACTGTCCAATGATTTCTATCTTTCTCTTTTTAACAGCTACACTCTTATAAACAGATAACGGGTAACAGCCACTTACGGGAGATGGGTGGTGCAGAATTTCATAAACAAACATGGTAAGATGTACCTATATCTGTGTTTATCTATACAGATATACAATTTGTGCACACAAACCCACCTTTTTCTAGACATGGGAAAATATGCTGTGGTTATAAATAGAATATGATATGACCATGTATAGAACTTACTCTATGTATGCAGAGTAGCCCATGGCACAAGCCATTTAGCATCTTCCACTAGGCAATTTACTGAAATGATTCCTCATGTTAAAAGCTACCACTGAATTGCCACGAAGCAACTTCATTTACTCCTGGCATTTGTAATCAGCCCTTCCCTTTGCAAAGCGTTCAGAATCAAATTGGTGCTGATTCATCCCATGTTATCCTTGTAATAATCCTTGCAATATTTTGATTGGAAAGAGTTTCCCCCAAGGCCTTCCAGTGAATTTGATGACCAAAAAAAAAAAAAAGACTTGACCCCAGTTGCAAACTGACACACAGGCAACACCGCTAGAACAAAAGGAAATACCTGCAGCAAGAACATCTGCCGTTTCTGATTGATGTAATCATGCATGGTCTCTCTCTCTACAACCTGGTCTGGGGGGAAAAGAAAGAAAAGAAAGAAAGAAGGAAGGAGGGAAGGAAAAAAGGAGGGGCAGCTGTGCAAGTCACAACATCCAAATGCAGCCTGACACAGTGAAGTGAGAGACAATGCCTTTAGCAGAGCTTTCAAAATCTCTTTGACTGAGTTGGTTGAAAGGTATTTGCAGGCAATGATTTTACAACCTCCATAGTTTAGAAACTGCCCTGTTCCATGACTAAAAGTGTTCTGCTTCTATGTGAAACTGCTTCTTGTCTCTTCTATTCATCTTCATTCTATTTATTTCATTTAATCTTCTTTTCTGAGCGCTTGTAACTAATAGTTGGATCTTTTTATCAGGGACTTTTTAGATATGCATCTGACTAGTGTGCATTACAGCATCAGATATCATTTCCAGAGGCAGCAGGCTTTTGTAGAATTTGATGCCCTTAAAAAACTCTTTCATATGCTAATGACTCTATGATAAGAGCCCATCAGAAACTTCCAAACTCTGGTGAATCTCATTTACATTGCAGAGTGTTTTAGAAACATTTTGAAGACACTTAAGAAAATTTTATTCATCTTATACTCCAATTTATGGTCAAGATGTTAAGCGAATTTTAAGCTGAGCCTATAAAAAGAAGAGTCCATACTTTCCCCTTTATGGTAAGATCTTTCCCGAAATTATTTGCATAGATGTTTCCTTAATGACTTACTTTTTAAAAAAAATCCCAATCAACAAATGAAAAATTATATAAACATTAATAAGCAGAGGCCTGCTGCTTTGGCTATTTCCCTATTCAAAATAATCCTTCCTTCCCAACTGTTTTTCTCTTAAAAGCTTGGAACAAATAACTCCAAATGTGTTTTACTTTTGAATGACAATGCTAACCAGAGACAGGAAGAGACTAGTTTACCTAAAGCAAGTTTGTATCCTCACATAGATCAGATTTTTGGGAAACAATGTCTAAAATTATTTCAGTCTGAATGTGAAAAAATGAGAATCTGAAGCTGGAAGCTTTATACAATGTATGTTCTGATATCAAGTAATTATCCTGCTAAATTGCAGCCTAGAATCAGAATGCTTTCCTCAATTACCTTTAGTAACTGCTATCTTCCAGGAGATGCTTTCTCTGAGCATTTTGAGTCGTTCGGCTTCTGCTGCTAACTCCTTGTCCTCAGCTTCTTCTTCCATTTGGATCGCTCTCTTGAATCCCGACTGTTTGGAACTCTGCAGAGTGGAGCAAGTCATCTTCTCGTGGACTTTCAAAGTCTTCCGTCGCTCTCGCTCCTAAAGGAAGAACGAGTTGATTAAATGCTCCCTTGGTTATCAGAGGCCTCACAAGATGGCTGCCCCAGCAAAAGTGTATCTCCAGCATAAAGGACCCTATAAGAAAATGCAGCTGCTCAGGAGGTCAAAATGGAATTGTATTTTGTAACATTGGAGCTAATTATTCACGCTGTGAGATCAGTTATACTGTGTATGAAATATACAGAATACAGAATAACAGAGTTGGAAGGCTTCTGGTCCAACCTCCAACTCAAGCTGGAGACCCTATACTGCACCACATACTTGGACTCTCTAAAAAAAATGGGGCCTAGCATCCTTGTCTCAGAACTGACTATGAAATTAGCTTTGATGCTGCTATTCCACATTTGTTTAATCTAGTGCCGAGCAAGACTATATACACACACACAAAAAAACCCAAAGATCAGGCTTCCTTAACCAGCTGCCTTCCAGTTGGATTGAGTTCCAGATACCATAATCTCCAGCTAGCATAGCCAATCATTTTCAGTGGATGGTACTGGATTCCAATCTTACAAGAAAGAAGATTCTCTCTATCCATGCAGTCAGAACATTCAATTCTCTCTTATCATCTGTAGTCTTTTTTTTTATTTTAAAAAAGCTCTCCCCACTTCAGCTTCAGTTGCACTTTTGACTTTTTTACAGAACCGCTGGTGTATCTTATTATTTAATACACAAAGTTTTTCTAAAAGTCTCAGAGATTCTCCTTAACCCAGGCAAAATAATATTGCATGAATAATGACATTATTTCTGCTATGAAATCTCTTAATGCAATGAGACAGTACACCAATTCAGTGGGAAGAGGGCACATCACACAGTCAGCATTCTGATTAGCTATCACTGGGAAGAATTTTTTTTTGGAAACGTCCTGTATTTTCTACATACCATCCTGGCCTTTTCTTTCTGTTTATCTCTCAGCAAAAAAATATCAACATCTGCAGGGATTTTGAATGGATTTTGTTCCAACAGCATGTCTATGTTTTGAGAAGGAACTGCAAAATAATAATAATAATAATAATAATAATAATAATAATAATAATAAACATTAAGAAATAGCAGAACAGCATTATATAACAAAAGCAATAGCACTTAGACTTATATAATGCTTCACAGTGCTTTACAGTCCTCTCTAAGTGGTTTACAGAGTCAGCATATTGCCATCAACAATTTGGGTCCTCATTTTACAATCTTGGAAGGATGGAAGCTGAGTCAACCTTGAGTCTGGTGAGATTCGAAATGCCAAATTGCAGGCAGCCAGAATAAGTAGCCTGCAGTACTGCATTCTAACCACCGAGCCACTGCGGCTCTTCCAAATATAACAAGAAAATAAATAAGAATAACCAATATGTGTCCAACTGGGCAAAAACGAAAGAATGTTGGTGAACTTCATCACCAATGAATTATCATTTGAACAAATATAATTGACTGGGCAGATTGCCATGGCCAACTCACTGCAGGACAATTCAACTAATACAAAAGTTAAATTAATTTCAACACAACTGTGGCCAATAATAATAAAATAAAATCAAGCCAGAAGAGTAACAATCATTTCAAAGAAATGTGGTCATCAATAATAAAAGTAACTGGTTGGAATGATTAATAAGGCGTTGAATTGTCCTGCAGTGAGTTGGCCATGGCAAGTTGGCCATGGCGAGTTATCCGATTCCATGTTAAAAGATTTTTTGGAAATCTTGCAACATATCATACTAGAAAAGAAATTTGGACACAGTACTACTGTGTTCACATTTTTAATAGAATCTCAAGCATTTAGTCCAAATGATTTCCAAATTAGGAATAGCTCTATAGTTAGCCTTCTTTAAAATCAAGACAATTTATTATTTGCCACATTATAAACATTGGTTTTGAAAATACCTTTCTTTTTATCTCCTCTTCTTTCCTTTATTCTCTGTGATTTCAAGGTGCTTTGAAAAGAATTTCAAAGGTAGGGGAGTATTGCAGAGGGAAGGTTTTTATGTTCATGAAAACATATAATTGGATTTCAGACCCAAGAGAAAATCAAAGTACATTAGTTCTATATGATTTGGAAGATTCTCTGATCCTGAAAGATCCTATTGTCAAGGAAGTTTAGAAACAATAATGCAAGAATGGTAACTGATCTCCTCAAAGTTGCTAAAATGGCCATGGCTTCCTCTGCTGTGCCACAATTCTAAAAAGTGATCTATTGTGTTAACATTGCTCAATGATCTACTGATGATTGCTTGCATAATGGAATTTGGGAGCGGACAGTAAACAATTGAAAAGAGAGACTTACGTGACTTGGTGGTTGGTCTAGAGCTGGACTTAGCAGAGGGTATTGAAAACACATCTCCGGTTTGCTGAGATAACAGCCGTGTCCCTGATCCAATAAACAACAAACTTCACTTAGTTAGCCAGAAATATGTTATATTATAGGGAATGTTGCTAAGATGTAGGTGTCAGCATCATAGGACTTACCATTACTTCAATGTTTGAAGATTGAAGATCAATTTATATGGGGCTCTTTGTATATATATAATTGGGAACAGAGTCAAGAGTGGTGCGGTGGCCTACAGGTGGAGCTTTCGCCTCACAATCAGGAGGCTGTGAGTTCAATTCTAGGTAGAGGCAAATATTTCTCTCTCTGGTGTTGGAAGAAATATCCTTCTGTTCCAAGTGGGGAAAAAGACACTGGAAACATGGAGGCTGTTTGGAAGGTTTAATGGTGGACAGCAGGAGCACATGGCTTGAAGCTCCAAAGAAGGATGATCACATGCTCCAAGGTGAAGGAAAAGAGAACAAAGGGCTGAGGTACTGAGAGTGCCTGGGTTTTATAACCTTTGTTGGGATTTGAATTGGAGCTTGTATTCTTTCTCTTCCTGGGGTACAATTCAATTGCAAAGTTCCAAAATGTATCTTTTAGAAGTCTTGTTACAATTTAACTCTAGTCTTATAAGTTCCAAGCAGCCTCCTCCAGCAAAATCTTAATATTAATTCTTTTCCTCTCCCTTCCCACTTATAGCAAAAGAAAAAAAAATTTTTTTTTCAATGTTCAGAAATCTTTAATGTCCCCTTGGCTTTAACTTTCAAATTTAATTACCTGCTGGTGCCAGAACGGGTTTTTCCGATTTCCATCTGCTATCACCCTAAGGAAGGAGAGTGAGAAAAAACAAACTTTCCCTTTTAACTTTCATCCACTGCTTTTCCCAATCTTCTTTGGGAATGATGTATCTTTGATGAAATTAAAATTCCAGGGTATTTAAATGCTACTTATTATCTCGGTCAGCCAGAACTTTCACTTTCTCAGCTTCCTCCTGCACATTCTTATCCGGATGAAAGCTTCTTTGTGGCGGCCATTGCTGACCGCCGCTGCACCACCTTTGGAAAAGGAAGTTAAGCCAGCTGAGGAGGGGGGTTGCGATTCCCCCAGACCTCTGCTGGATCTCCCGTCTTCAGTTACCTCTACAGGGTAACTATTAGCCACCAAATCCAGCTGGATCGGGGGCACTCCAGTGGCGAGTGCAGCAGAAACCACGCATGATCGTGGATTCCTGCCGCCGCCGAAGCCTTGCAAACCGCAAGTATAAAAAGAAGAAAGTGCTAAACGAAACAGACTGTGTGTATTTGGATTGCTTGGTGACTTTGGGACCTTTGGAAATTATTATTTGAAAGACTACAAACTTTTGGGTTGTTTAAAAAACTTTTTCACAATGGCATTAGTTGTTGATGAATTGAAAATGGAATTTAAAAAGCTAAAAGAAGAGGAACAAGAAGGGAAGGGCTCTTCTGGATCTGTTTTTCATTTTTTAGAAATGGCGATTTCTACCTATCAGCAATTACAAGAACAAGAAGGTTGGGATGAAGAAGAAGAAGCCATCTTTAATGAACAAACAACTTTAGTTGGGGAAGAAAAGGGAAAGAGGGGAAAGAGAATGGAGAATTTAAGACTTAAAAAAACAACCAAAAAGGGAAAAATAAGGTGAAAAATCGATACAATGTCAGAAAGCGAATTGGAGCTTGTATTCTGATTGGTTGCCAGACTCCCATGAGGCCATGCAGGGGCAACTCTGTAGGTTGTCCTGTGTTCCAGGCTTGGTTGAGCCTTGCTGGATGATGATGCACTGAAAAGGGCTTTTGGCAATTGCTATAGCTTTACCTGGAGATCTTTGTTATGTAAAGTATTCTGGCCTAGGCCTTAATGGCCCACCCATTAACAAAGGTGGGGTGTGCTTCTGCTTTTGCAGTGAGTTTCTGCTTCTGAGTTTCTACTCCTTTTAGGGGAGATATTCTGCCTTTTTAATATTTCCTAGGATATTTCAATTTTCTAGGAGAGGGGTGGGTGCTAACTGCCTACACTGGGCACACTGAGAATATATCTGCTGTACAAAACTCTGCATTGGTGACAGGAAGGGCATCCAGCCATTAAACAAGCTAGCTCCATTCAGTTGCCCAGACTCCACCTGCAACGGATTATGGGTTCATTAAATGAAGATGATGATGATTGGGAACAGAGTCACATTCATTAATACCATCCTGACAATACATCTCTCTCAACTGAGTTTATGCTGCAGGTATTAAACTCCAAAGAAACCAAGCACCAATGAAGTTGACTGTTTCAAAAGGAACAATCTACAGTACATATACAAAAAAGGATAGACCTGTGTTCTACTCCAGGAGCTGCCCAAACTCTGACCTGAATTTTAAAACTGTAAAAAGAAGGAAACACTAAATTCTAGGAAATAAAACAAGAGTCTTACTGTAAATTTCTTCAGAGTCCACTGAGCCTGTAGATGTACTTGAAGGGGCAAACAGGGTTCCAGACATCTTGAGGATGTTCTAATTTTAACAAGAAGGCTGACAATTTTCTACCTGGTGAACAGATGTCTCGAGATGCAATACTGAATCTTGGCCTATGAAGAGATGTGTATAAGGAATCCTTTGTTAAATGTGGTTTTATTCATTAATCAGCTAAACCTTAACAACATAGAAACTAATTTACATCTGCTAACATTTGGGGCCAGAAATTAAAATGGTAATGAAAAAGATTTTGAAGGACCCTCCTAATAACTAAAATTAAGACTGGGGCAAGCAGTTGCAAATGATGATGGGCTTTGATTCACTGAACATCCATTTTGGTCTTGAGGTTAGGTTGAATGATTTGTAATTCCCCTTCCAACATTAACATTCCCACAATTTCATGACACGAAGAAGAAAAGAATTTTGTGCAGGTTCAGTTTTTTTCACCATAGAAAAACCTGAATTACTCCCAATCTTTGTATCACTATTACCATCCAAAGAATTTTTCTCACAGAAAGAATGGCCTGTTCTTTCTCTATTTTTAAGCAAAAATGAAATGAAAGAAAGGGAATCATGCACATTAAAATAGGCATGGGGTCAAATAAAATGGTGCTAATCCAAATAAAAGATTTGTAGAAATCATCATCATCACCATAATTTTAAATGACTTGCTTGCTTTAAAGGGGTCTGGAAATCTGCAGCTGGAAATTGTTTCCCAATTGTTAACACTCATTCAGCCATGACCTGTAATAGAGGGAAGGATCACTATAACACTAATGGCTACCAATTCTATGAGATGCTTTCTCAGTGCTACATCAGTGTTTCACGCTGAAGCAGTTATTTTCAGGAAAATGACCTCACCTCATGCATACTAATTTCAGTATCTTCTAACAAATTAACTTGATGTACTGTAAAGTACATAATTAGATGAGGGGCTGTGATGGCTCAGTGCTTAAAAGACACTGAAAAACTGACAGCCCAGGTTTGAGCCCTCTACCATGCAATGGGTAGAGTTCCCCTTCCTGCCCAGCTTCTGCCCACCTAACATTTGAAAGCATGCAAACGCGAGTAGATAAATAGGTACCACTTCAGTGGGAAGGTAACAGTGTTCTGTGCACCTTTGGTGTATAGCCACGTTGACATCATGACCATGGAAAACGTCTTCGGACAACGAGCACCGTATCCAAAAGTAGGACAGAACCAGACAGAGAAATCTTTACCTTTTTCCTGTAGAGATAATATCCCTTGACTTCAGCCTAGAAGTTAAGCAGGGTTCTGCTTGTCTGATACTTGGAGAAGAAACCACCAGTAACAGGTGTCATCTAAACTACAGAATTATCTAAACTACAGGTAGTCCTTGTCTTATAGCCATTCATTTAGCAACTGTTCAAAGTTACAACTCTATTGAAAAAAGGGACTTATGACCAGTTCTTGCACTAATGACTATTAAAACATTCCCATGGCCATGTGATCAAAATTTGGGCACTTGGAAACAAGTGTGTATTTACCCTTGAACTCTGGTGCTGCAGTGGTTTAAAGTGCAGTGTCATTGGCAGATTCTGTTACAGCCGGGAGTTCGATCCTGAGGGAGCTCAAAGTTGACCCAGCTTGCCCTCCTTCCCGAGGTCGGTAAAATGAGGACCCAGATTGTTGGAGGAAATATGCAAATCATGCTTATATCGTAAACCACCAGAGTGTGAGGTAAATCGTTATGGGGTGGTATATAAGCTTAAATGCTATTGCTACTGCTGCTTTGGTTGCAATGTGCTGAGATTACATGATCTGAGGTGGTATTCAGCAGGTTCTGACCAGTTCTGGAGAACTGGTAGTGGAAATTTTGAGTAGTTTTGAGAACTGGCAAATACCACCTCTGACTGTCCCTGTCCCCATCTATTCTCTGCCTCCCGAGTCCCAGCTGATTGGCTGGGTCTTCTTTTGTTGCCTGCACAGGAGAAAGCAGGTTAGTGGGGTGTGGAGGGAATGGGGATTTTGCAGTATCCTTCCCTTGCCATGCCCACCAAGTCATTGTCATGCCCACCAAGCCACACCCACAGAACTGGTAGTAAAACATTTTGAATCCCGCCACTGTAACATAATCACAGTTTGCAACCTTCACAAGGGGCTTCCAACAAGTAAAAGTCAATGGGATAAGCCAGGTTTGCTTAACAACCACCTGATTCACTTAACAATCACGGCCAAAAAAACAATCATAAAATCAGACACGATTCATTTAACAACTGCTTTCTTTAGCAATGGAAATTCTTCCCCCTGTTGTGACCGTATGTCAAGCACTACTTGCATTTTACCAAGAAAAGGTTCAAAGCATCTCATCATCATGGCAGAAAGCTGACAGCTGCTGTTGAAAGGGGAGTGGGGAAGGAAACAACCCTAACTCCATTTTCAATTCCATTTGAAGCTGAAGACTGAAACACTTTTTCACTTGAAGCCTGCCATCATTGCAAAGCTGGAGCAGGATTACTGTTTAACAGCCTGTTTAATATTATTCTGCTGATGTTAGAACACAACCTCAGGCTCCCATCCTCTTTCTTTTTCCCAGAAAGGTTACATATGGGAAAACCAAAGTACTAAAAGTACTATATAAATCAACTGGGGAGAAAGGGAGAGAGAGAGAAGAAAGAGAGAGAGAGAAAGGAAAATGTAGAAAAAAAATAGTTTTTAAACCTCCTGATAGAAATATAAGATGAATTACCGCAGACGGTAAATATGTTTGCTGGGTAGGTTCACTCCAGAGACATAGATGCTTAATTTCAATATTGAGATTTCCCCCCCCCCACCCTGTAGATTTTTCCTGCTTTTCGACGACTCAGGCGTAGCCTTTTCATCAACGCTGGAAGTTCAAGAAAGCATATCGCGCTCAACCTGAATTCTCTCCCGATTGGAAATTAAAAAAAGAAAAAAAATATGGCTCTTTATAGAATGAAAGCACTATCAAGTGACTTAAGTTATTTTCCCGTCTCACGTTGCTCTTTTAATTGCTTCTGCTCGGCGAGCCCGGGGGTTTTTGCGAGTCCGTTTGGCCAATTTAACTCAAGAGCCACAGCGCTTTCGGACAAGAGGCAGGTTCCAGCGTTCTCGGCATTCCGCCTCTTCCATTGTTCTCCGTTCTTGTTTACGTTGCTGAGGAAACCATTTTCTCCTGTTGCCAGGAGGTGCTGACGTCATAATGGGGGGGAAAACGCTGGGGGGATGCGACGGGGACATAGAGATTGCGGGGAGCTGGAATCGAGCGCCTTACGTCCAAATCAGAATCGGAATCAGAATCGGAATAGAGCTGGAAGGGACCTTGGAGGTCTTCCGGTCCAAACCCCCCCTCCTCAAGCAGGAGTACCTATATCCTTTCAGACAAGTGACTGCTCAGTCTCTTCTTAAAAACCTTCACTGATGAAGCACCCACAAGTTCTAACAAATCTGGAAACTAAATGAAACAAGCCAGCCGTTTGGATACTGTTGTTTTGTGGGAAATAATTTGATATTTCCTATATAGGGCACTGCACACCAGAACAACTAGACACAAGGACAGTTTTTTCTCCCAATGTGACCATTCGGCTAAACAACTAATTCCCATAATACTGTCAAGCTCTTTAGTAAGACTGTATTGCTATTATTCTTCTCATCCTTCCTATTACCTATCAATTCCAACTTATAACTATAACTGTGTTGCTTGTGTTTTTACAATTTATATGTTTTATTTGTTCCCTAGTATGATTCGATTGCTTATTAGTAAACTATGACTATCACTAAGTGTTGTATCTTATGATTCTTGATGAATGTATTTTATTTGTTCTTTATGTGCACTGAGAGCTTATGCACCAGACAAATTCCTTGTGTGTCCAATCATACTTGGCCAATAAAGAATTCTATTCTGTTCTGTTCTGTTCTGTTCTGTTCTGTTCTACTCTACCCTACCCTACCCACCCTACTCTACTCTACTCTACTCTACTCTACTCTACTCTACTCTACTCTACTCTACTCTACTCTATTCTATTCTAACAGATGTCAATGTCCAGAGACAGTGAAGGGGATCAGTTTGAGGCACAAGGCAGGCTGCCATTCAGCAAAACCCATCCACATTAATCAAGCCATCCTTACCACATTTTGAAGTAAATGAAGCACTGCATTACAGGCCTAAAGAGTTTCCACCGCACCAATACCAATACCATAAGTGGGACATGTACAACAGTTAAATTCAGAATCTAAAACTTCTTTGCTTGCCATTATGTCCTGAGCAGTTCTTCAATCTGTAGCCATCAGCAGTGTTGGAATAGCACTGAGCACCCTCTCATAGAAAGCAGGTGTTTGTAATACAGGTAATCCTCGACTTACAACCACAATTGACCTCAAAATTTCTGTTGCTAAGTGAGACAGTTAAGTGAGTTTTGCCCCATTTTATGACCTTGCTTGCCACAGTAATTAAGTGAATCACTGCAATTGATAAGTTAGTAGCCCAGTCGTTAAGTGAATCTGGCTTTCCCATTGACTTTGCTTGTCAAAAGGTCGCAAAAGGGGATCACAGGACCCTCGGACACAGCAATGGTCATAAGTATGAACTGGTTGCCAAACATCTGAATTTTGATTTTTGGGATGCAGCAAAGGTCGTAACTGTGAAAAATGATCATGTCACATTTTTCAATGCCATTGTAACTTTGGTCACTAAACGAACTATTGTAATCAAGGACTATCTGTATTTATTAGATGATTTATTTCAACATTGAGATTAGGCATTATTTATAATGCTTGATTATGCTTACACACACATGCATTATTTATTTATGTGTCCAGAAACACACTTTTCCCATTGTGCCAATCATTTCAGTGTTGGAGTCAGTAAGAAGCATTTAATGAAGCAAAGCAAGAAAGAGTGAAAGTGTCAGAGGAAAAAAATAAACAGTAACATGCCAAACATCTGTTTGGCTGGAGAAAACCCCACAGTGTTCATCAAGAAGAGATAAATAGATTCTTCCAAGCGTATATTTTTTGTCATAAAATAGAATTTCCAGAGCAGAAGT